ACTTGATGGTGGAAGAAGATGAAGCTACCGAAATATTGCTGACAAGCAATCGACATTAACACCGTCTGGAATTGTCAATTTCCTTTTTCCTTATCTGTAATATTTCGATAGAAAAGGAAATGCAAGAAGTTACACGCTGGTAACAGACGGGAACGACAAACTTAATACAAAACTAACTAAACTTATATATTTTTAGAAGAAAACAAAAAATCATAATGACTTTTTCAATTTTATTAAAGTTTCCTTTTTGTTAGAAATGTGAGATGCATTCATTATAAACTTAATTTCCTACATATCTTGAAAACTTAATTTAATTTAAATTAGTTATTCTGATTTCTAAAAATATATATAAATTGTGTACGGTACGTAATAGGAACTTAAGTATAAACATACTTATTTATACATGCTGTATGAAAATGATCAGAAAATGGGGTATAAAAGGTACCGTCACAATATTTTCCCTAAATCTCTATGCAAGATTAAAGAGCGGTTTGATAATCTAATCTGTTCATATAAGCAATAGTTGGAATTATAATTTGAAATGTTTTGCGATGGGGTAAAACTATTATTGGACAAAAATTTTTCTGAAACTTTACGAATTGTACTTAACATAATGATTGAACAAAAACTCTTACCCGCCTGTCATGGCTACGTAAGGCATTTTTCTATACCCGAAGACAAAACTTGCATTTAGAAGAAGACATTGTTAGTCGAGAAGGCTAGTCAATAGTCGGTTATTAAAACAAAAATCACTTAATTAATTAAAGTACATGAAAGATTAGTAAGCTTCGGCATAGTTGTATTATAATCAATGGAAAACAGCTTTTTTTAGGATTGAGGAGGTTCTGGGTGCCAGATCTAGGGAATAAGCCAGGGGGGTACAACTGCAAAGTTTCTCCAGTTACTGTTTTTCTAACCATAATGTCATAGTTTTCCGGTTCGCTACTCCATCGTGAGGTTGTATACTTGTATTTTCTTAGATTTTTGATCACTCAATCTCTGATGAATTTGTTTCATTCATCACCAACAAAATTTAGTTCAATAGTTTATATTTAGCTTCAACATATTTTATTAAGAATTACTACTAGGTTTACTGAATTTAATAATAATTTTGTACTTAGATATATTGTTCAAAATAATTTGAAATATTTTCAACAAAAAATTTAGTCGAAAATTATTCTCTCCACTCAGAACTGTTATTTCTGCTGTCATCTATTAAATCAAAATATTTACAATGGCACTTCGACTACTAAAGTTAACTTTTTTTGCTTTGATTTCTTCCTTCATATTTCACTCCATTTTGTTGCACATTTTAAGATACATTTTTTGTTGGCTACTTTTATGTGCTTTCTGCTCGTGTATCTTCTGGATGCGTGCTTTGGCTTGCTGTCGGACTACTATCAACAGATTTTCGACCATTTTGTGGCAGAGTCGATTTATATTTTACCCAAAAAACACTTTTATCTTTTAAGCGTAGAAGATATTTTTACTTTTTCCATAAAAATAACCAAAATATTTGGCTAAAAAATGCTCGAATACATAAAATTGAGAAGAAAACTAAAATGAAAACGAAAAATAAACAACAGGAATTGCTTCACTACTGCCACAATTTCCGCTTTAATAAAGTAATTTAAAAAGAGAAAACGAAATTTTTGTGTAATTTCCTTACATAAATAACAATAAAAAGTGTGTAACTTCCAACTTTCGTAATTTAAATTTGATGAAATCTTATATACTCAACAATGAGTTCCGAAATGAATTTAGGCGATGAATTCGTGAATCACTTTAAAGTTGCGAGGAAAAATATTTTTATAACTTTAATATAATAATTTTATAAAAATATTATAAGCACATTTTGACTATCCATATTTAGTTAATGATTATATATATTCCCATTTAAAGTAAATAAAAGTAAAAAGTTTTCTGAGGTCATACTGAGACCGCCCATTGGACCCACAAATGGGCGGAAGTTTTCTTAATGTAAATAAGAAATAATCGAGCTGAACGATAACGCGTTTAATTTGCTTAATTTGCTGATTATGTATTCTATTCGAAATGCAAAGATATATATACTTATATTATATATGTAATTTGAATTTTGTTAGTTTCACTCTTCAAATATAATTTCACCTAACAAACAGGCTTATTATTAAGGAATTGAATATTAATTTAAAAAGAGAAATCAAAGGTCTCTAGATTATTCACAAAACTCATTATATATTACTAATTTAAAATTAATTAGCTAATTATAGAACTCAAGTTGCAAAATGGAAACAGATTCCTTATAATCAACTTCCTGAACTGCTTTAAAAACAGGAAATATTTCATTTTTTTTCTCCAATCTTGGCAATATCTTTGGAATTTTAATATATAATACATACTTTAAAAATATAATTTTTATATATAATATATATAAATGAAATGGTTTAGTATAACTTTCTGAAATGGTTCAGTTTAGTGGTTCACATTTCTAAACCATTTATTCAATTCAAAAACCTTAGAATGTCTAGCAACTTTTCTGAAATTATATATGCAAGATGTGCCACCTTAGATGCAGCCAGGTATATGAACCGATGTCGTAATCTTGAGGTATGCCTGAAGAAATTTTTCACAATATTTAAAAATGTAACTACAAACAATTGGATAATAAGAGAGGAAAGCATATAGAGTGATGCATCCACCTAAAAGTATGCCCGTAAAAATATTTCCCAATATTTTCTAACACAACGACGGTCAATAGAATGGTGAATGAAAGATTTGTTTATGAACATTTGTATTGTATAATATTTTTTCATACGAAGAGCGACTAATATTTGCTTGATTTTGTGAATTTAAAAAAATAGCTAGTGTAATTAGCGATAATTCTGAATATCGACAGTTATATAGTATATTTGCTTTCACAAAACAGCTCTTTCACACGGCGGAAAGCACAATTTTCTTCGTCAACCAATTGACGTGCGAGTAGTGCAGAGGTGCAGAGGTGCACCTTTCATAAAATAGGCTTACCAAGCACTTCACTAAAACTACTTGAAAGGCCCTAAAGGAATCTCAATATCCTCTTAGGTTATCTTAATAAAAAAATTTTAAATGTAATCATTCCTCTCTAGTTAAGAAATGTTTTTATAATTCTATATATTTATCTGCCTTACATAGTAGTCTTCTATTTTTGGTGCCAGATCATAAATGCAAATTTAGATTCAATAGAAATTTATAGTCTTTTTTGTGTAATGGCAAGGAATCATAACCCAATATAAGTATTGAAAATAAGAGCAAAAGAAAAATAATATAATTTAAAAATAATGCAATATTATAATTAAAATAAATATGTTTAATAAGTTAATTCAATAATTATTAATAATAATTAATAAGTTAATTAATTCAATAATTATTGCAATTTTAATATGAATGAATGTGAAATTACACGCTGAATAATGACATTTTAATGACTATAAGTCTTTCATTTTTATTGACACCCATAAAGCACCTCCATCATGATATACAACTGTCCGAAGCTATTAACTAATATAGCCAGAGTTCAGCAGTATAATTAAATTGTGAATAATATAAGGTTACTCTATCTTCTATCTTTTTATGAGCTTTGTAGCGTCAGCATTGCAGTAATAAGTATTTTGAACTTCATATGAATTATTTTAAATTTTATTTAAACCGAAAATCAAATCCAACAAGCTTTATTCACGTATTAATATTCTTCACAATAATGATAATTATAACTAAACATAATTATATCAGTAATTAATTTATAAAGTAATTACAATATGAAAAATTTTTCACGCAAGGAATAATGTGCACAGCAGATTGAAGAACATTGCAATATAATTTTTTGATCCAAAATATAGATAATCCAAAATCCAAAGTCGCATTTAGTGAACTACAAACTTTTTCAGAAACAGATTATTGTATCTTTTTCACAGTAAGTCTGAAGGGAAAGACAATGAAAGCACTTTTTGTTTGACCTGCGCTGTTCAAGCGTTTCCACCTTATCGCGTAATTATTCATGACAGAAACAATGGGTGACGGAATAGTTTGCATCAAAATGTTGTATCGACGACACAATAAATTTCGCAATATTTTACTGTCTTTTTTGACATATTACTCAATAGGCATTGGAATAACTTCATATTTTTATAATTTTCAGGAGGGTCTTTATAAACAAAATGTGTTCACACGTTGCTTGGCACTTCTTTCAAATATCTTAACATTGGTTTTTCTACCCATCATAGTCTACGATAGTATATTTGAACTGAACTCTAAAGATTGGACACCACTAATGATTAGCAGCTATGCCAGCTCAATGATAATATATGTCTTGAACATAATCTACGTAATCCTTTATCGGCAAAAACGGCAACAAGCAGAACTTAGACTACTACAGCAAATGCTCGACTTTTACTACAAGCAAATGCAATATATACCATTGAACAAACATATCGAAAGACGTTTTAATAAATTAGTTTTCATCAAATACGCCTTTATGATATACACATTTGTAACATCAACGATATTTACTTACCAGATTATCACAACAAGGACATGGTATACAGCAATCACTATGTTCGTCTTCAATAATTTCGACAATATATTATATGTTACCTTGTTTGCCTACTTTTTGGGCATGTGGTACATTTGCCGTGGTCTATACTGCATAAATGAGCAACTACGTCAACTTTTAAAAGAACTAAGATCCATCTCAAGCTCTACTGGAACTAACAATCCATACCAAATTCAACGGTTGGAGAGCTTCCAAGTAAAGTTAAGTGCCAAAATAACGCAACTACTCCGTCTGCATTGGCAGTTGATCAGCTTTATAAGTAATTTAAATAAAATCTATCGGTTTCATGTGCTCGCCGTACGTATTACCTGCCTAACTTGGATGGTGGCATTGAATTATTACGGAGTTGTTTATATGTTTCGAGTCAGAAGTTTAACAATTTGGGTTATATATGGCGCAACCTATTTTTTGAGTATGTCAATAAAATTGTATCTTGTTGATTTAATATGTGAAATGACTGTGAAGGCAAGACATGAAACGGCTGATATACTGAAGGAATTCAACGAAATTGTTCTGGAATCAAATGCGTTACATAAATCGGTAAAGTATATAAATCAGGTATAAATTATTCATAGATATTATTCAATTTTTTTTTGTTTAATATTTTAGTGTGAACAGTTTGGATTGCAAGTTTGCTGCTTCGACACTGATATAGACTTATGCGGAATGTTTTCTATGAACAGATCTCTCTTCTTTAAGGGAGAAGCAAAAATAGTTTCCTACACCATCGTTTTGCTGCAATTTCATCTAACTTTGGGTGAGAAATGAAAACATCATATAACTAATAATGTTAATGTTAATTGTCAATAAAAAATTTTTTATGTACAATTTAATGTTTCTTTTTAAATAAGAAATTTATTCTTTTCATAACTATAGTTTAAAATTTATTCGATTATTATAAAAAAATTTTCTTAAGATAACGACTTAAATTGCACATATATACTTTTGAATGAATACATGTTCCAGAGAAAATACATTACAATAACCATAAAAGAACAAATGCAGCCATAGCAATGCAGAATAATTCTCTCCAATGAGTGAGAAAATAGAGCCTCCTTGAAATGGTTAAGGTTATGACTACTGAATATAATGATGATAAAAATCGAATATTACAAAAAAAAATTAGAAAAGAAAATATAGTATTTGTATGAAAAAGAAAATCTATTCCATATATTTTTGTTCAAAAACTTTCAGATTTTATTGCCAGGTAGCGCTTTAAAAATTGAATCCCTTATTAACTTTCTCTCCACATTTTAATGTTATAGCTTGTCAATTGTAAAAACCACGTTATCGAGATCACATATGCGTTATCAAACTACAACTCATCTTCACACACTGCCATCCTTATTCCTTAACGAATATATTTGAACAGGTACCGAAACTGCAAAATTTTGATCATTAAAACTTCTTCTGAATTAAATAATTCAAGAAAATACTTTGAGGAATGTATTTTAGTAGCGTAAAACAAATAATAAAATAATCAAAAGCAACTCTGTGTTGAATCTGTTTGATCAAGGGCTGACGGTATAAGTGCGTTTCAGTCAATGGATGATACTTTATAGGGGACAATAAAAATTATCAAGAATCAGCCTTTCTTTTCAATTTTCCGAATAAGTTCCTAAAATTTTTGAATCCAGTTGGTATAATTTATTATAAATAATTATTATAATATATATTTATAATAATACTGGAGTACTAACGGTGCACTGTGCCATTACGTCTATGCTCCAACGTTGGCGAGTATAGGCGCACCTATGCTCCATTGTGCCTATACTCCTACGGTGGCGAGTTGCAACAAGTGGATTATGCAGGAGTTGCCAAGATGGAGAAAAGGTAGAATCTATCAAACACTACCTGTGTCTCTGTCCAGGACTTCAGACAAGGCGACTGGCTTGGAAGAGATAACGAATGCAAACTTATCGGATCTCGTCAACTTCATCTGCAAAACCAAATGGTTTAACTACGATTACAAAGGTTAAGAACTCGCCTCTCCCGGCAAAATTTTTGAGTGCATCACAATGGGCAATATATGCCTCCGAGTGGAGAACTGTCAGCACACACCTTCCGAACCTAACTTCATTTCTAAATACCTTGATTGACTTATTTTTTCTTCTTGAAGTTAGTAATTGTTAACTCATTTTTAATTTAAAGTATAATACTCCTACAAAAAGATAAAAAATGTTTATTAAAGTGGCAACACTCTTTTAAGCGCTCCAAGCGTAGGGTTAACACATAAAATATTAACGACATATCGTCAAAGTAAATTTGTTTTGTCTTTATGGAATCAATAAAAAGGAAAGCCGTAAATAAACACAGTTAAACACAATAGCAGATTATGGACTTCCGCAAAAGACTAAACCGTAAAATGCCATAAAACAGTATTTTTATATGGAACTAATACACAAGAACAATTTAACCGTCTGCAGTGAATACAGTATCTCATCGCTGTCGGAGACATTTGCTGCAGTGATGAAAATAAGGGAATGAGATAAAAAATATGCAGGATGTATTATATAGTAATTTTGTCAGCAACGTTAAATAACATTCCCTTCAATTCCTTTATGCCAATATTTGATTATTTTTTTGTTTTCTTGGTTTCAAGCTACAAACACAAATTGGAAGTACTAAGTCCATTTACGAAACTGGATTTCATATTTATGGATAAGCGACGTTTAGTTGTGCAGCATAGGAGCAACGTTAACATATTTACGATATTTTCTTCTATGCGCTCAAAGAGAAAAACGTATACCGTAAAATTGATGAAGCATAAAAATAAAAATTCATTGCCAAATCACAATCAACTTATGATAATCGCCCACATCAAAGAACCAAAGTACCATTGACGTGGAAAGAAAGAAGCAACTTTACATCACAACCACAACAAGCATGAAATCTGTACGTAACTTCAACGGATGTAGTGTGTACCTAGGATACGACTGCGACGCATGGTCACGTCGTTCTATGTAAAATCCTATTGGTATTACCACTGCTACAGCTGCTGGAGCTGATGGTTACCAGCGTAACATTGTATACAGAACAATTTACTTCACTGGGCTTAAAGCGCACTTGACTTGTCATTTCCGGTTGCCTGATGTGCTGGTATCCGCTCTTTTCTTACTATTTGCTATACATTTTCTTTGTTACTTAAATAAATCATAAATAAAGTCAGTTCATCATTTAAAGAGCTCGTTTGCAACAAAACATCTAAACAGGACGAAAAGATATTTGAAGTACTTTCAAAATTTAAGTTGGTACTCGTATTATTAGAACCATTGATCACTTTTCATAAGCGCTTTGTAAGTATATATTCAATACTAATTACCTATCCTAAAAAAGTATCTAATAAAAAATTTAAATAAAATTAATATATATCTTATTTATGATATAATTTACTAATAGTTTCGTGGATTCAATAGATTTAAATTACAAAAAAAGTTAACCAATTCTCAATCAACCAATAAAACTTAAGTTCACAAATTAAAATCTTAAAATAAGAGGAAATTTAAAAACTATCTTATAGCAGAAAATAAAATATATTTGAGGAAAGATAAAATTTTATTTCAAAAATCGTATGTTGTTTTTTGTGATGACATCTTTAATCATCTCTTCATTTCCTTTTTAAACATCCTACAGCTATGAGGTTACATCAATTTCGATATTTATTACAGAATATTTTTAAGCATATCACAGATTATATCTTCCATTTCAAAAACTATTGCAAATATTTCAAGAAATAATTTTCGCAATAACAAACCAGTAAATGTATCTTACAGGATCACAAATAGTATGTATCTGAACAAATGTATTTCTGAAATTATCCTAATTTGAGATACAATTTTGAAATTACTATTTCCATTGTTAGTCTTACACGCAAATTAAAATACAGCTTCTTTCCCCTCATATACCATATTTAGTGCAACATGTGCACTATGTTCGCCAAAGTCGTTTAAGCTAAGTACATGCACAACTTGGTTTCACATCACTGTGGAGACGATTATGGTTTTTCCCAGAAAAGTATAACATCTAATATTTTGCATCTGTTACTGAGTGGATTGTTAACTTTTATGATGTCATTTCCTCTACTGCGAACATATTTGTGAATTGACTGCATGAAAGAGCTTCCGCAGTAACGCCACCTGAAAATGCATACAGAACTGCATGTGCCTGTACTTTTGGGTGAAACTGTAGGTGCTCCACTGCAAGTCCGCATGACTACTTGTCGTACATGTGGGTGTGAGTGTTTGCTCAGCTAGGATTTGCTCATATTGCAACACAAAACAAGGACTCTGAATTGCACATTTTTTGCCATTTATGTTTGCAACATTTTCAAATGTACTTTAAAACGCTTTGAACAACTTTCTGAAACAACTACAAAAATTTAATCTTTTTTTCGAAAAACTCTCAAAAATGTATGCAAATGTCATAGCAGTTGACTTTGTTAAGCTGAGTGGGTTGAACACAAACAACTGAAAGTATGTTTTTTTGTGCTCTCCTTCCGTTTACCTTTTTCGAATAATCACATGGCTTCTTTTAGTAGCATTTAAACATGTTAACAATTAAAAAAGTGTTTAACAAATTTCATTTTGTATAAAAATTTAGTTAATAGGAAAACGCTTTTCATCTACCTTAACACAGCCCATCATTCGCCAAAAGATGATCAGTTGCTCTTTGGTTCTTTTCCTCAAATGCCTATTCGTTATCTCCAATATAAGCATCAAAGTCATTACATGCTTTGGATAAGTAAGTAGAGAATGCAATCTGGTCGAGGTCACACATAGAACTGATAAGTTCGTAATGATACCAGATCAGTAGTTAATGATAATACACATTACTTAGGATATGTCGGGCATTTGAAAATAACAACAGATAATTACTTCCCTTTAACATAAGAGTCGAACTTCAGTCCATCTAAACAAGCAACTCCAAAGAAATTTGTTCAAGTTTTTGCAGAATTAAACAGAAATAGACAGATGTTATAAGATTTCATTAATAACCGGTCTTTATATCCTGAAACCGTCATTGCTGGTAATGTTTGCAATACCTGCGTTGAACCATGCAGTATCCCATTTAAATATTAACTAACGTGAGTCGATTAAACAACAACACAAATTATATATTTTTTTTAAGTAAGATTGCACAATGGCAACTTTAATGTCACTTAAACTCTCTACCTATCCTTCGCTATTCGTCTAGTTTTCTGTATAGTGGTGTATACTGAAGGTATACTGAATGAAAGTTAGCGCCAATTTTAGAAATATTATACTTCCCTTTATGCCTTTATGATCTGGAAACCAATATATATACAACCCACGTCTATGGATCAATCTGCCTATTCCATCCTTGGCTTCTGAATATTTTTGGAAGATATCTATTCCAAGCTTTCGTAAAACAACAAATTTTTATCAAAATGGGTCTACATGTTAACATTTAGTGAGTATTGTATTTTGAAAATAAGTCAAAATGTACCACCGTTTTTTTTTTATAATAAAATAGAATAGAAAAATGAAGATATTATATCCCAAGGCAGCGGGCCACTGTGAACATAATTGATCATTTGCGCAGGAAACTAACGTAATTGGACAGAATACACTAAGCGTTGCATATGATAGCCAAAATGTTACATGACGTGAATTTCTTGATATCAAACGAGTTACGAACTCCCTGATTATTAATCTCCAGCTGGCTCACATCAAAGCCAGTCAGTTATAAAAAATATGACAAGAGATCTCATGTACTTACAAGCAAGGCTGACATTCAACATTCTTAGA